GTAAAGTTAGAGGTGCATTCGGTTGGGAGGGGGGGGCAAACCGAGCCGGACGATTTGGTCAGTCGCACTTTTAAACACATTTTAGTTTTGCTATAGAAAATCTACAAATTCACACTCTGATTACATAGAGCACCAGCAAGAAGTGCTTGAGGTTGTCATGGCAACCAGATACACTGCACGCAAATTACGGCAGCACTTCTATTTTGCCACACTAAACTTAACAATAAACACGTTGAAAATAATACAAGATAAACACGTCTGTCAAAACGATCTCAAAGGAGGATGTTATTAAGCAAATCAAGGAGTGAATTACTCATCCACTGTAAAAAAAATACTTTAGCTAGGTTTCCACAGGCAGGGTCACAATTATCTACAGTGTATGAAGCTAAAGGTTTTTGGGTTAAGGTTCATAATGTAGAACATTTTTTAACATTGTATGCTGTATGCACATAGGTAGCTAGCAAGCAAGGAATACAGCTGTTAAGCTAATAGTCACATTAGCTGAGTAAGATCATGATTGATAAACCCAAAATTGCTAGCAGCGCCCCTGTATATAGGCTACTGATAAATTGGCACCCCATATTGCTCTGGATATAGGATACAAAACACTGGGATATTGTAGGCCACACACACAAACACACACACTGGTAGCCTATTCCTATCATTATGGTGATATTCCATAGATGTAATTGTTTTTCTACTGTTCAAGATGCATTTTCTATATCTCCTTACCCTACCCCTAACCCTAAACCTACCACTCACACAAACATTTCTGAATTTTTAGATTTTCAAAAACTTCTGTGTTATTTATAAGCTTGTTTCCTCATGGGGACCAAAAAAAAAAATAATAATAATAATAAAAACAAATTCCCACGTCACAATTGACCGGTTTTACTATACTTGTAGGGACATTTGCTCCCCATAACGTAGGGAATACCAGGTACACACACACACACACACGTTAGTAAAAAAAATTTTAGTAGTTGTTAATTAAGAGTAACGGATAATGATTAGACGGCGGCATAGGCTATATGACATTGGAGCGTAAAACTGAGAGGGAAGAGAGGGAAAGAATCCACGCAGCAAAATTCGGAATGACAGCAAACTATTAGCCCACTTCAGAGGCTCCCAGACAGAGGGAAACTGTCCTTGGTTACTGAAGCGGTGAACCCGCTTTCAACGACAATTCACTGTGAGCTGTGGCAGCCATCATTTATTCTCTCTTCAGCGTAGCCTACTCCACGTATATTTAATGTAAAAATATATATTATAATAAATAATACAGATAAATAATTAAATTTTCTATGAATTAACAGTAGTTTATTTAATGTTTATTTGTAGTATTTATTAGCCGTGTCGACTCAACAAGGTGTTGTTTGTCTTCAAGTACCTGTTATATGTTTTATTCGTGCAGCAAATAAAATCCATGAAAAAAGTTTCTGATACAATGAGAAATGTAACAAGAAAATGTGGATTACATTGATGTTCAGTGGTTTTTGAACGAGTCTTGTAAAATGTTACAGCATGTTTAAATCTGCACATGAGCTCATATTATCTAACGCACACAACAGTATTAGTTCCACATAGCCTACCTGCGCTGAGACGTGCATGTGAAGCGCGCGTTCTTCAGTTCTTCTCACGCAAATGTTCAACAGCCGTTATCTCATCGCAGAAAGTCAGACGAACCTCTAAAACCCGTCACACATGTATATGGTGAGAAGCGTTTCACATCATGCTGGGCTTAGTGTTGGTGATGCTCTAACATCTCTCTCCCTCTCTGCACGTCACTGACGGGTCACGGACCGACAGCGTACTTTGTCATTGCTCTTGTATTATTGGTTTGAAGTAGGTGATGTAGTCTGTGCCATGACTGTTGTTATGTTAAGGATGTTGGATGTTGTATTTGGGGTAATGTGTTATGGGTGTTGCAGAGGCGGACATAAACTTTAACACTTATACGTAGGGGGTTGTCAGACCGACATATAAAACAACAAATTTGACCGACATATTTTTTTTGAGCTTGATGTGTAGGGTCGGGTAAATCTGAAACCGCTAAAAATAATCACACACACAAAAAAAACCCCGCAGACAAAACTCAACAAAACAGTTTTTAAAGTTGCGAGTTGTGAAAATTATGAAATCTAGGACCTTTATAAGGCAGTGCGTGCCATCGCAAAGAATGTAAATATATCACTCACAGACTCGTTTTCCTCCGCGTAAATGGATGAATGCACCACCGTGGACGTAAATGGTCCATGGATGCACCACTTGAGACTTTATTATGGATGTTGAGGTTTATATGGTCTGTGGAAATCTTTGGGGAAATGAGTGTCCTGCTTTACTATGAATAACTGGATTACTGTAAAGTAAAAGACCCACACACAGATGCTTCTGACAGTGGACAAACAGACACACATTCAAAACTTGTATATGGTCTGCATAGAGTTTTAATCCATAGCAGTGTGGAATTTTGATTGAGTGTTAACTGCAAATAAAAATATTTTTCTGTGAATGTGTCAATGGAAAAATCCTGTTGGTCTACTGTAAATGTGCTGGTAAGACAACTGACAATTCCTGTTGAAAAAAAACAGCATATGCTGGTTAGGTATGTTTTGAAGCATGGCTGCTGGTTTGAGCTGGTTTACGCTGGTCATGTGCTCGTCCTAAGCAACTAGCTCCTGCTCAGGACCAGCTTAAATCAGCTCATGACCAGCTCAAACCAGCAGCCATGCTTCAAAACATACCTAACCAGCATATGCTGTTTTTTTTAACAGGGATGTCCTGAGCTTCTGGATAAAATATATAGAATGACCGTTTTATGTTTCTTTTGACTCCGTTAGCATTAAAAACATTTTTTATCTGCACCTTGCTCTGGTGCATGAGACACAATAACAGATCACCACAGTCAGTGTCAGCTTCATCTTCAATAAGGGACATCAACAGACTTGAGTTTCATTTTCCCTTCTTTATTTGCAATATCATACATTAGGTATAAATGGCAACAAGGATTGCATGGAAAAGCATATATTCTGTTAAGACAACAAAGGCAGGGCTAACATACACTTCTACAAAATACATTTTACTTGGTTTATTTATATGTTATGGGTCAATATTATGTATAAGAACAGAGATAGTGCTTTGGGTTCAATTCAGGACCTTGCTATTTGAGAGATAAAGGGAGCAAAATAAGGCATTCTGTTGATTTCGTCCTCTAAATGAAAATGAAAAATTCAACAGATGGAAATAAAACAGGTGGACTGAATCACACAAAGCAAAAGGACAACAGGGTGATGTACCATCCAATCTACACATAAAAGAACAACACAAAGTAATGGAAAAATAGTATGATAAAATGAGGAGCAAAGTTCTTGCTCTCCTGTTCGACAAACACAAAACTTAATAGTACCGGAACAAACATGAATTGCTGACTAATTGGGAAAGGTAATTCCACCTTATTTTTATAATATGGGTGTAATTAATTAACAATTATAATTGATGACAAGAGATGACTAAAGAAGCAGATACAGTACATTTAAAGGGATAGTTCACCCCATTCTGTCATTTACTCACTCCCATGTCTTTCCAAACCTGTATGACTTTCTATCTTCTGTGGAAGAAGATTCTAATAAACATATCAATATTTTTTTATACAATGGTAACCAAAACTGTTTTGGCTACTAACAATCTTCAAAATATCTTATTTTGTGTTCCACAGAATAAAAAAGTCATGCAGATTTTGAACGTCATGAGGGTGAGTAAATGATGACAAACTTTCCATTTTTGGGTGAAATTTTCCTGCAAGGGAAAGCTAAACAACTGAGGCAAACAAGCAATAATGTTAACATTTCATTCATCCATTTGTTCATGTATTCAATCATTAATTAAGCAGCACAGGAATAGAAAGAATTGGGTAAGGCAGATGGATCATCTTACAGTAGAGGAAACTCAAAGCATGCCATGTTAAACCTGTTTTAAAAAAATGGCTATGCAACTTTCTTTACAACAGCCAAGGTAGTACACATGATTGAATGTCAGATACACAAAGCAAGAGATGCTGTGTTGCGATCTCAAGAGCAGTAACCGCATTCAGTTAACAGTACAGCTACATGAGACTAGTGCTCAAAATACTGCATTCAATACTGGCAAACATTGTTGTGGCTACGCAGTTAGTGCAACACTGGTCCTGCTGGGTTCAGTATGGCACTGACGCAAAGCAGGTTTTTGGAAAGACCCAAGAAAAGAAAGATGGGAGTTTGCATATTATTTCAACAGATGTTTTTAGCACTGATGGGATTTTACGGCAAGATCAACATTATTAAATCCACAGAAATAAAAGAGAAGACATAAGTGAGCTGATCTAAATACAGGAATGGTGCCAAATTTCCATATATTTGCTGTTACGTGACAAAAAAAGAGGGGAAAAATATCCAACTGGCAAGTATATTAGTGCTAGAAGAAAACTGACACCTGTGATCTAAAATCTAAACAAGCTGATTGTCCCATGTGTGATTTTCATCTAATTCTGAAATTTATTACATAATTTGCATTACTTCTAACAGCAGAAAAAGATGGGAAGAAGAACATACAGAATATCACAAACTACAATATCAAGACATTAAAATAATTGAAATTGAGTTACACTATTAAATATGTGAATGGAGACAAATGTATCATATGTATCTGGCTTGTTCATACTCCATGCTGTAATAAGCTTATAATCTCAATTTTATATTCCATTGATAACAAAACATTCCTCATAAATACACACAAATCTTTTCAAGTGGATCCTTTTCATACCAAAACATGCAAGCAAAGGCAAGTTATCAGACCATAGTAGGATGCCAGCAGCCAATCAGCTCACACTTTAAAATGGAATCCGATCAGGTCACACATAACAGTCAAAAGCAAAGGTGTTTTGACAAAGTACAGTTGAAAAATCGAATGGCGAAAGCACATTTGTAAAGGATTTCATTATGCAAAGTACAAGGTCATTTCCATGTCATATTACAATGTCTACAACAGTACACACCAATGATAACAACAATTACACAAATATCTACCTGAATAATAGCATTATAGTAGCTGACTGTGTAATGATGTGGTTAATACAAAATTACACATTTAAAAGGGACAATGATAATTAAAATGTGGACTATTCAAGTTACTAAAAACATTTAAACCAGCTAATAATTGTACTTCAGTTTTAGGGTAAAGGGACAGTTCACCCAAAATGAAAATTCTGTCATTTACTCATGCTGGAAACCAAACAGATTCCAGCAGCCACTGACTTCCATATTAAGGGGGAAAAATTCTATGGAGGTTAATGGCTACCGACATCTGTTTGGTTACCAACGTTCTTCAAAATATCTTCTTTTGTGTTCAACACAATAAAGAAACTCATACAGGTTCGGAACAACTTGAGAGTGAGTAAACAATGACAGAATTTCCATTTTTGAGCTATTTCCTTAAGAGTTAATGCAAACTTGCTTTCATTCTTTTCCCTCAGTTGTAAATTTGCCCTAATGTCACAGAAATTTCACCTCTGTAATGTAATGAAGTCACATTTAAATTTAAAAGGGACAATGATAATTAAAATGTGGACTATTCAAGTTACTAAAAACATTTAAACCAGCTAATAATTGTACTTCAGTTTTAGGGTAAAGGGACAGTTCACCCAAAATGAAAATTCTGTCATTTACTCATGCTGGAAACCAAACAGATTCCAGCAGCCACTGACTTCCATATTAAGGGGGAAAAATTCTATGGAGGTTAATGGCTACCGACATCTGTTTGGTTACCAACGTTCTTCAAAATATCTTCTTTTGTGTTCAACAGAATAAAGAAACTCATACAGGTTCGGAACAACTTGAGAGTGAGTAAACAATGACAGAATTTCCATTTTTGAGCCATTTCCTTAAGAGTTAATGCAAACTTGCTTTCATTCTTTTCCCTCAGTTGTAAATTTGCCCTAATGTCACAGAAATTTCACCTCTGTAATGTAATGAAGTCACATTTAATTGGTGTAAAAAGGTTCTTATACTGTTTAAATAGCATGTATTAGTAAGTATAACCAAAATGTTGAAGCAGCAAGAGGAGAAATATGACATAACGATGTTAAATTTTACCGTCAATTATGTTAAATCCAAACATGATGTAAATGTCATTCTGCAGGTATAGCAGAGATTAACATTTAGTATTCAATATTTATTTATTTGCAGACAATGAGAATTTGAGAACAGCATAATTAGAGCTTGACATAAATGCCAACACTTAAATATTTCTCCCTTTCATAATATCTCTCATTACCGAAACAAAACACACACACGCACAAAATTTTCTCATGTTCACAGGATATTTTCTACTATGGCAAAAAAGAGGACATTTTAAAAACATTTGGTGAATTAAATGGATAACGAGGTAATACCTTTATTATTGTAATTTTTATGGGTAAAAGTGTATATGTGTTTACTGTGAAATAAAACGCATGAAACATAAAACCCTTGAAACATGAAACCTTTCATAACATCTCACGCATCCAAAACTCTGATTGTGGATTGTAGAAACTCTTGGCACGCTTTTTTTTTTTTTACCATAAAACAAACAGAAAATGCAAACAAGTGTTAAACTGGAGTGCCAAGTTGTCATGTCATACCCGAAATATGTGCAAATATTACACTTAGAGATGTTTAGTATTTTATTTAAAACATTTAACGACACTTACAATGAGAAAACACTGGAGACTCCAAAAAGTGAGTACTTAAACTGACACCAGAATAATTCTGTAAATAGATAAATTGGTATAGTACTACGGGGAAGGCAGAAACCCCATTGGCTTTGGCGATTACCTTTAGAAATCCTGAATGGGAAGACTTAGGAAGTCTTAGGAAGCACACAACTCTATATCTGTTATGGGGCTTTGGGCAGATGTGGCAAGATCATGCTGTGTCAGCCACCAGTGGCTTGAGATAAGATGGCGTCCTAGACTTTTAAATACTGGTCTGCACTAAGTCAAACAAACAGTTTGCAATGTAAACAGCCCTTCCTAACCAGAGTTTAAGTGTTAAAAAAAATCTCTCAATCTATTTTCAATCATTAAGGTAAACTCTTCGACTGGCCTACATTGAAATGATGTGAAAAAAGTGAAGAAGAATTGCTCGATTTTTTAACAAAACAAAACAAAAAAAGACTGGACATAATTTAAGACGTGAGTTGTGGTTTTGATTTAACATTTGTTAGATAAAAGGGTAAAGGCAAGGGCAGAGTTTTGGGGTAGTAGGTAGATTCACATTCATTCCCTCTTTTTCCCATTTTATTCACTGTTGATGATGGAGGGATGGATGAATTGAAGGTTGATGAAGGAAAATCCATCAAATTCAGCCTGGTCGATGTTGGCGATAACCAGCTCATCAGGAGGGGTCAGTTGTGGCTGTGTGCGTGTGAAGAACTTGTCAAAGTTCTCTGCCCCCTTTCCACACTATTAAAAAAAGGTAGCGAGAGAGAGAGATTACAATAAAGATTACTTTTGACACAGTTTATTGTAACACTACAACCATGTAGCGTTAATCATATCACATACAGACGACAGATGACACAGTCCAAGGTTCGTAAAACACACATTGTAACGCAGACAACAAACATAGTTTAAAGTTAGACTGTTTTATGTTTGGTTGGTGTTTGTATCTTTCATATTTTCCATGACAGGCTCACGAGTACTTCTACACCTCATAAGCATCTTGACAAATTAACTAAACTACTGTAAGTAGTAGGAACATTAATACCTGGCACTCAATCTATAATTTAGTATACTTCTTTAACCTCCATACCATGTGTATGAAAAAGTACCAGAAGCTCATTTATAATAACCCTATTATTATGACGAATAAATGATTCAAAGCTCCTCATCAATGATATATACATGTGTGGCTTATAAGGTGTGCAGGTTACAGATCCTTTTTGTTAGGGCTTTCATGAATTGTTTTAACACAAGAACAACATTTACTTGTATGACTTCACTCAATGTTTAAAAGAAGGCTGTCAATTTAACACAATAATGAATTACAAAGAATTATTTAAAAATATGTGTGTGAACAAAATTAATACTTTTAATCATGCCCCTGTTCGTAAAGGAATTTTCCCTCCATCGAAGCAGTTCAAGAACTGCAGAAAGTGACACAGCAGCCATTTCATGCATGTGTACACAGACCAACAACTAAAAGATAGTGCAGACTGATCTAAGTGATTTGCGATTACTTTGATCAATTAATTGGCATACCATGTAATTAATCTTTAATCGACTGACGTCTGAAATTTAATGTACACAAACAGTTACAAGAAAGAAAGAAAGGATATGGACTTTCCTTTTGTAAAGCTGCCAGATTCCATAAGACATGCAGCTCAAGATGTGCCTTAAAATAGAAGACAACCCTCCCCCTTGTATGATATTTGAAAGGAGAGATGAATGGTGACTCAAAAACTGAGAGAAATGGTCAAATGTAAATGCCTTGTCATGCTCTCTTATGAGGAAGATCTTCCCATCATATGTGAATGATGAGACACTGAGGGGGAATCTATCTGGTTGTGTTCTAACAAGCAGGCAGATCAATTAAACTGGCAACTGTCATAATCACACACAAACACAGAGACCATAAAAAAGCTATTTTTCAGACACAGAGGTCCATGTAGGGCACTTCCTACGTCAGCAGTGGAACTAATGATTGGCTAAATGTTTAAAATGGTAGCTGTGCTGAATTAAGCCTGTTTAACCCCCACCATTAGTGTGAAAGGGACATGGGCTCTGTCTCTGTCCTACTTTTGACCATGAGAGGAAGCTGCAGTTCAGCTTCAGGATGTCCTGAGGGGACATCAGACAATTGTTGAAAACAAACAAACAAAAATATTAAAAGTGACAGGTGATGTTCATAACACACTCACACTCACACAGAAGACTAAAAAATAGGACATCATAAGAAACAAGTACTCGAGACAAACTAACCCTTCTCTTCTTTTCTGTTTTGTCCCCAGTGATGTGACAGAATGACCTATTCAAAGATATATGTGTGGGAGAGCATGTGTGCTTGTGAAGGGGAAACAACTACAGTATGACCCACTTTAGAAGTCATATATATGTATGCAGACTGCTTTTTCAGCTCATCCCTCTCTCTCGCTCTCTCCCACTCATACAACACACACACACACACACACCAAGGACAATCTAAGCTATTTAATATGACAAATGGCTCTATCTCGGCAAAATAATCTCACTTCCTCCACAGGCGCTGTCTCAGAAAGGCAATACCAATTCATAACATGTTTCACGTAACATGTTTAAAAAAACAAAACAAAACAAAAAACAGTGAAAACTAGAATTATTAGAACAAATATCAGAAGGCACAGAAATTATAAATAGCAATAAACATTCATCAGGACAGGCAGATGATCACACATTAGTGTCATTGGTTTTCATTGCATTGCATTTTATTGCATTGTAATTTTTACAGAAAAAAATGTTATAGTAAAAACCTGGTAATTGGTTAACTTTATATACTTAATAAAGTTACTTAACCATATACTGTGAACATTACTGTTACATACTGTCAAGATTGTTATGTGATTGTTACTTTTATAATTTTGGAAGTAAAAAATGTTATGGACAGTGCACATATTGCACTTTATAAAATATACAGTTATACGTAGTACAGGCACCAATATTCCATCCCATAATACCTGAAACACTGTCACCATTTTTTAAAGTGATTTTCTGGCAAACAGAAATATACAGAAATATAATAACATTTACTCTCCTGTATCTTAATCACCATAATTATTTTGCAATATTTTAATATTCATGCCTTTTCAGGGCCACTTCACCATTAAAACTGTCAGTCATTAAAACCCAGCAAGAGCTCTTAGTTTTTCATCAGTATATGATAAATACACACGTAAGTGGGAAAAGAATAGACCTGAATGGATTTTCTTACCACTTTGGGTTTGAATGGAGGCTGTATTTCTCTGTTTTCCAGGCGTTCCCAGTCAATCCGACGGAAGAAAGCATGTTCCCTAATATCTCTTTCCCCCTCTGGGCTGCAGCCCAGACGCTTTGAAGAGTGTTTTGTCATCAGCTGAGACACAAGACAAAATATAATCATTATTGTCTAAACAGAAAAAGGCTTAATTTGACAGTCATAAAATTAGCACATAATATATATTTCTAGAACTAAAAAAAAGTTTTCAGTTTACAGGCATATGCTCATCTTTAAATTTCATGATAACACACAATTTCAAATATGGGTAGACCAATTGCATGGACATGAACATTTTGTCAACAATTAGTCTAGGTTCAATTGCATATGAATGTCTATTATGAAAGTGTAACTGGTCATCATTTCATTTTCCATTTATTCTGTGTAGTTTCTTAATATGAAGTCATAAAAAAAGATAACCCTAACAGCTAACCACCTTCAAGACATACTCATTCTCCATGGTCATGATAGATCTGAACTGCAGATAAAGATGTGTAAACTCAAATAGTAAAGCTAAAATCGGTTTGTTGGTTTTTTGGGACTAATATTTGATCACATTAGTTTGGGGACCAATTCTCACTTTTAACTAACTATTAACTATGACTTTTGCCTCAATAAACTCCTAATTTGCTGCTTATTAATAGTTAGTAAGGTAGTTGTTAATTTTAGGTATTGGGTAGGATTAAGCAATCTAAAATATAATCATGCAGAATAAGGCATTAATATGTGCTTTATATGTACTAATGAACAGCCAATATGCTAGTAATATGCATGCTAATAAGCAACTAGTTAATTGGTCCTTAAACTAAACTGTTACAGAATATTTCACAGACCCAACACGATGCAAAGAACTTTACAAACTTTGGCAATTCCAACAGCTATATGGCTCTAAGAAGAACTCATTTTAACAGCCTGTTAACTAAAGAGAAAGTTTTCATGTTTTCATTATTAAATGGTGACTTAAATTTGCCAGGAAAATTGATTTCAGGTAAATTTCTAATTAATTATCCCTCTATAGTCCTGGGCTTTTCTAGGTCAGCTTCTGACAACCATTATGTATCCATTAGTAAGCGGCACAGTTTATAAGACACACACACACACACACACACACATTTCAAAACACCCAGAAATGAAAACAGATGAACTTATAGCTCTACCACTGACAAAAAGACAGAAGGTGATAGAGAACATTATAAAAGTGAGACAGTGTGTGATGACACTGGGCTTTTCTAGGTCAGCTTCTGACAACCATTATGTATCCATTAGTAAGCGGCACAGTTTATAAGACACACACACACACACAAATTTCAAAACACCCAGAAATGAAAACAGATGAACTTATAGCTCTACCACTGACAAAAAGACAGAAGGTGATAGAGAACACTATAAAAGTGAGACAGTGTGTGATGTCTCAAATCATCAGCTGTGCTGTGTCCTGCTTGCACCATTATTTCTTTCTTTACCTAGCAGGATGTTCTTACAATAAAAATTGCAAAAAGTATTATGGTATTACTGTGGTATTCCTGAAAGTACCTGAAAAGTACACAGAAAAAATAAATATGTGAAAAAAACGTTATTTCTCAAGATATTTCCTTTTTATTGAAGGCAATATCTTCTGAAATGGTTCATTCATGTACCTGTCATTTTATCATTGTCTTTTGATTCAGACTAAGATACTGTAATGTTTGTTTGTTTGAACAAGAAAAGTGAAATGTCAAATGTTAAATGTTAACAATGTATAGATTCAGACTGTACTAACTTGCACTTAAACTGAGAAGTTGTGAGAGAATGTAATGTGAGTGTTCAGATATTTTATACTGTGAATCTTTGGCTCATGCCGAGTGTAATGATCTCCAAAATTCAGGAACAAGAAAAGTGAAATGTCAAATGTTAAATGTTAACAATGTATAGATTCAGACTGTACTAACTTGCACTTAAACTGAGAAGTTGTGAGAGAATGTAATGTGAGTGTTCAGATATGTCATATAATTGCTTTATTTCCGCTAAATAGTGTGTTGGTTTGTACTGCTTAAAAGAAAATAGGATTTATTACGGAATGTATCGAATGTATGTATCGACAGTATTTTTTTTATTTTATTTTTGTCAGGTTATAGGCATCTCACTGAAAACAAAATGTTAAGATGTTCTAGAAACAGCAATTGCTGAAATACTATATTAAAGAGAAAATATGAAATCTAGTCACGTCTTTGTTGATGTTAGTGAAAATGATGAAAATAATATGTATTTCTGATTTACCACAGTAGTCAACTAAAGAAGAAATGGTCTGTTTCACTCTCACTCTAAAAATCTGGCAAGGCAAAACAGTTAAAAGTTTTGGTCTTTAGTCAGACTGAAGATGAATCCAATAACACTGCATTCATGGCAAATGAAACCTCAACGCTGATAAGACTTTTATTAAAAATGAAACCAGGTGTGTGTGTTTTTATCTAAATTGGATCGGCTCCTGCAGTGAATTTCTGATGGGCAGTGGATTTCTGAGCAGATGCATGTAATATGAGTGATTAAAAGAAGTGAAGTGACATTTTTTTCTGTTCTATACATTTCAGTAACTTTCAGTGAACGTAATTTAAGATATACTGATATCAAATGTCAGTGTATTTCTGTAGGAATGATCTTGGATTCATGGCAACCTATGAACTGGTTTTTTGGAATGACCCAGGTCTCTTCTTCTGAGATATAGCCTCCTCATTTGTCAGGTATTAAATGAGCCCCTAAACTTGTACTTTCTGGTCTCAGCCACAAACATCCATTGTTCTGGAGAATGCAAAGTCTTAAACTATTAAGTCAAGAAGTCTACAACTATTTTCAGAGGCTAAGATGTAAAATAGAGACATCAAAATAGAAGAATAATGTATTGGTGAATTTTTGTTCCTTGTTCTTAACTAACTAGAGAACAAAAATCCTCCTTTTCCCCCCAGATTTTCTCTCTCCACTGTGAAAATATTGAATCAAAAAGAGAAGTCATACTGGTTCAGTTGGGCTTTAGAACCTGAAACATTCTGCCTTTACGTGTCAGAACTTACCCCTTTGCAGATGGAAACTGCTTCTTTGGACATGGATTTAGGGTAGGAGACGTTGTGCTCCATAATGGACTGAAAAAGTTCGTCTTCATCCTCACCATCAAATGGAGGCTGAGAAGAGAGAGAGAGAAAAAAAGAGAACATATTCAACATGAAATTAAAATGAATATTAAGTATATATCCTGATATATAAATGTGGAAACTCTTGCACTCTTCACATGTGGCATTATAGAATTTAAATTAAGCTCACCCTTACAAAAAGTACAATTGCGCTAGCATGGGAAAAACAAGTAAAGATCCAAATGACAAAGTGGTAATACCATGGTATTATTCGAAGGACCTTATAGTACCATTTAAATACCATGATATTACCATCTTGATACATCACTGAAAACTGGTACCACCAGAGTGCTTTAAAAAAAAAATTCTACTTATAACAGAAAATAACCTTATAAAAGATATTTATTATGATAAGATGTATGATTTAAATTTATGATATGGATTCTCTAAAAACAGGTTGTGGATGTGAAGAGGTGCAGTTTACCCAGAGATGTACCCCTCTCTGGGTACAGCAGCTGGTGTCAATATTATATGTGGATAATTTCTGTTAAATTATGTTTAAAACCATACAAACACACATGACCACGTACTACAAACTATATTACAACAAAGCTACACCTGTATTATAAGACTGGCAGAAGATAACAGTTGGCAATGTAGGACTTGATGGTTATACACATGTGAACTCACCTGTCCCGCCAGCATCTCGTACAGCAGCACTCCATAAGCCCACCAGTCCACAGAACGGCCATACGGCTGATATGCTATTATCTGAAAAAAGACAGCATAAAGTACCCTACAGATTACAGATTGAAGATCAGCATACTTGCAACACAGCTATCACTACTGTTTCAGAAAACCGTTTTTCCCATCATCCCCTTCCCTTCTGGAAGCACACATCTCCCTTACAAATAAATTCTAAAAATATACTGTATTATATACTGTGTTCCAGTCAAAATATCTAAATACCCCAAAAACAAAATTGATTCACAAAGCAGTGTAAGGTAAGACATATTCTTGTTAAATAAAATTGGTACTTGTTAAATTATATGACCTTGGTATATCACCATAGGGTGTCCTTACTTTTTGACAGCACTGAACTTAGTAATTCTTTATATAAGTGAAAGATTGTTTAGGAGTACAGTAATTCTTTTTAGTAATTCTTTTAATTTTTTAGCATGAAAGGGACCCAGATATAAAACAAAACCTAAAACGTTCTTTTATTTAATAAACCAAGCAAGATTGCAAATGAATTTGGGTGGGTGGGGTGTAAGAAAGTATGTGATGAGTGTGTGCCTTTAAAATATCAATATTCAAAGCACACACCTTTTCTTTTTTGTACCATATATTCCAGAATTTCACACGGCTTATACAGATTGCAGTCAGATTTCTTGGCTGATGCAGTTCACAACACATTCAGTGCGTGTGTGTTTGTATGTGACATCATGCTAACACTATGTGACAGTTCTAGATCATGGCTGTAGCCGCTCAAGGTTTTGTTTGTGGCTCTAGATGTTGAATCTTATATTTGAAAAATACTGAGGACCACACACACACACACACACACACACACACACACTAAATAAATCGTATCCCTCATCTACACATACCATATACACACAGGTTAATTGAGATGCGCAGAGACTAAACAATTACTGAGGAGAAAACAATATCATCTCTCAACTCTTAATTATTAACCAAACTGATAAAGCAAGTGAAAAAAATAATGGATGGAAAGATATTTTTCACACTGGTAATTCCTGTAACACTTTATAAGTTCACATGTGTATCTAATCCCAGTGAGTGATAAAAGTAAACAAATTTAACTGTTAATAAATAGGCTCAGGTCAGAGACTGGATTTCAACTCCACAAATGTATTCCTCTTGACTTTAAAGAGACCATATTATACTAACAATATTTTGGTAATATGAGAAACAGACAAATTGTAATGAGCTTTTAGAACAACAGAAATCAATGGGTGGTCTTCACTGAAACTTGAAAACATATGTTACAAATTTACGGTTAGCCATGTGTGTTAATGCTGCTCTACCTTTGACACAATTTACACTCAAGTTAACATGCAGGAACGTGTTCCCAGATAACATGCATTACCACTGCATAATATGTAGGTCAGCAAAAGAGAGAGAATGCTCTCAGAAAAGGGTGGAGGACAAATGGCCACTAATATACACAAAATTTTTTGCAGCTACAAAAAAAAAACTGTGTGTGCTATTTTTGTGTGAACACAAAGTATGTGTTTTAATGCCATGTAAGGGAAAAAAAGTTACAATCACACTGGTAATTTCAACAACAACAGCAAAAAATAAAATAAATAAAAATAAAATAAATGAATAAATACATTAAAAATACAATAAAAAGCTACAACTTTAATAATACTATCATTTTATTCTCATTTTCACTTTGATATTGATCTTTAATTGCTATGATATATACGCACGCACGCACACACACACACACACACACAGCACTTGAACACTGTCATAGATACACATTTTTGAAGCTAGTAAGGATATTATGATGATGACGACAAGGAGATTACTAGACATACTTTCGCTGATTTGGTTTCTACCTTAAACAAAATCTAAAGCAATCTAGTTCTGATAAGGTGGGAGGGTTTGTTTAGTAAAATATAGATACAGAGGGTCTCTTTTTTGTGCGTGGAGAAGTCTGAAAGGCCATTGTGGCTGCTTTAATAGAATGACTTTTAAAGACTTGCTGTAGGAGACAACTCTGCCACCCACTGTCATGTCATGCCACTACAGTTTGAGTATTTGGGGGAGAAAAAAAACAGAGAGGGACAGAGAGAGAAAGATACTGGGAGTGTGTGTCTGAGGATGTCAGAGCAGATAAAGGTCATCGATATGAAGTGTTGAAGTGCCACAGATAACCTGCATTGTAAGAGCTTATGTGCCACTTGTGGAGGCATTCTCATGCTAAGGCCTGTTCTGGGAAGTAAACTTAGGAGAAGAGGAGCTTCAGTAAAGGGAAAAGGGAGCAGCCACACACTAGTTCTAGATCTGTTCTCAATATGTAAATATCTGTATGAATAAAAAGATAGAAAGCACTGAAAATGCAGTAATGGTCTGCAAAATATTTAAAAAGGTTCTTTTGGAGAGCATCATTAATTGCAATGGACCATTTTCCACAGTTATTAACATCATAAATTTAGCAAAAATTTTAGCTTTTTATATATATTTTCAATTTAAAAAAATGTAATGTACAGAAAATAGTTTCCAATACAGCTGTTGAGGGATTGATTACATCTGAAGACGCTCCTCCTGAAACTTTCTTTTAGAATTGTTCAAATCAGTAGCATGTGGCATATTTGTTTTAAATAAGGAGGCAAACTATTTACTTAGTATTTTTGTTTATACATTTTCAATCAAACATCAACTAACTGCAGCAACCCACAGTGAGTCATGTAGAATTAATTGGGCTTAAGGGAGGCAAAAGAGACTCCTTTTTTAACGGCTGATATGGCCTTTAGACACTTAAAAACAAACACAAAAACAAAAATTGTCCTGTGGATTATTTTCTCATCCAAAAATAGTTTGAGGAGGCACTGCCTCCTCTGAGAAAACACCACAGCTTCAGGGTCCTGTAAGCACTTCTGCTAGTCACATTTCCATTTAGCACTAGCTGTCAGTCTGGGAGGACTGGTACTGCCCGCAGGAAACACACTCCTTCACTCACCTCTGGAGCGATGTAGTCTGGCGTTCCACAAAATGTACGGGTGGTCACACCCTCCACAATGTTCTCCTTGCACATACCGAAGTCTGCAATCTTAATATGACCCTCTGCATCCAGCATGACATTATCTAATTTCAGATCCCTGAAAGTGATACAATAACATTGCAGTACATTAAAATAGACAGGGTGATACTGAAAATGGGAGGATGGGGTTACAGAAAAAAAGATGTTTGTTTTCCTGTTTAAATATTTTTATATAAAAATGTATCTAAACAAAACTCATCTTGTTCTTTTTTCCCCACACATAAGCACAACAAAAATGTAGTTCATTTAAGTTCATGTAAAAGCAAGTGCAGTGTTTTTCTTTTTTTTCCTGAAACAACGACAGTGTCTCTTTCATTCCTGCTGACGTCAGTTCATCTATTTGCTCTATTTCCCTAGGCCAATTTAGCTGCTCAAAGAAAAACAAGCCAAATAACTAGGTTTAGCTCCTAAAGAGAGACAGAATTAAGTGAATTCCTGGTTGAAGGTTGTGCTAAATAGTGATTTGGTATTTTATTAGTCATTCGAAATGAGTCAATATTTAGCACATTTCACAAATACGTTACCATGATATTTTTAATGCATTATAGCCACAAATGACCTTTATAACTGTATCTAAGAAACTAAAATAACTCATGACATTAAGTTTATTGCAGTAAAAAATATGTTATTACCAATTATTACCTAACCACATTGTTCACTTTCCTTTAAATCATTATAGCATTTTCCTTCAAATGTGACACTCAAGAAATAACACTATTTGGACTCTTTAGTGGAAAGACAAGTAATTGTAAAAATGTATATAAAATACAATTAAAATACAAATATAAAAAGCAACATTTGGTCTCAAACTAACCATCCTTTCTGTTACTCAGAATGGCATAGTTTTTGTTTATTTATTTTTTTAATGTTATTTATTGCTTTAATGTTATTAATTATTGTTATTAGATTTTAGGATTATACATTTTGTCTGTTATATTTTTACTAGATTTATTTGATATTTACTGCTTAAAAAAAGTCACAAATCACACAAAATCAGGGCTTTAAACACCCCCAAATGTGTAAAGCCCTGTTATTAATTATTGTTATTAGATTTAAGGATTATACATTTTGTCTGTTATATTTTTAATAGATTTATTTGATATTTACTGCTTAAAAAAATTCACAAATCACACAAAATCAGGGCTTTACACACTCCCAAATGTACTGAACATAAAACAGCTCACATTAAATTACAGCTCACATTAAATTTCAGGCCCTTCTTTGTACCCTAGTGCCATAAGTGCCAATTATTGACAACTAAATGACTGTAGTCAATCTGCTGATTACAGCCAATTAGCTTACAACTGTTGACATAAAGGTCTGAATGTGTAGTCATGTGTGTTCACCTGTATATGACTCCTTTCTTGTGCAAGAAAAAAAGTCCAACAGCAATCTCTGCAGCGTAGAACCTGCAACAAGCAGATTATTTTACATAAATTTACCTTAATCTACAAACATACATAAAGTGATGTATGCTTTAAGGCTCAAACCCAGAAATACATACTGTAGACACACGTATAAACACAATGAGAGAGTGGCTTACACCGCTTGTGGCTCCTTAAATTTGCCCACTTGCTGGATGTGGTACATCAGATCACCACCATTAACATACTCCATCACGAAATACAGACGATCCTATGAAAAAAACAACTACATATATGAAACTGTTTAGACAAACTTTAATGCTGGCCTTGTCTGAAAGGCTTTGTCTAGAAGTTTAAAGTCAATAAATCAAAAGTTATTTGAATCATGTTGAGTGGTACTAATTACTAATTTTCTACTTCATATTGCAATCATTTTATGAACGGTAAGTAAAAAAAAATGCAATTCTGTATTTTAATAATAGATTTTAATACACTAAACATCACTCACTTTCCGACTTTGTAAATGGCTACTGAAAAAAAAAAGAACAAGAACAAAAACAAAAACTGGGCAACTAGCATTGACGTAACCTCATTAATCTCATGTCTAGAGATTTATTTTTCTTGACTAACACATTCGTTGGGGTAGCATTACTGTTAACTCAGAAACTTTCATTTCATGGATAAACGTATCATTTGGTGGATGATGATAAGCTCTTGGATGGTTGGATGTGGATGCAAAGCATCTCTAGATAGGTCTGCTCATGGCTGTCTCTTTCTTTGTCATAAAAACAGTGGTACTGTCATCTCACCAGCAGAGGTCACTATTGCCTAAGTAGTTTTTATTTGCCTTCTTTTACTTAGGGATTGTGATTTTGTGCTTTTCACTTGTTGATTATGGCATTGGTGTCTTTATTAAAATTTTCTGTAAATGGATCCCCCTCATTTACCTGTCAATTTACAAGCTCTGTGATACACGCTTTTCAGATTTGAATTAAATGTGACCATTAAAATGTAATAAAACTATATCTTTATTGTAACAAATTGTGATTGTACTATATTTTCTAAAGTCCATACAGGTATGTTTCAAACAAAAAATACATACTAAACATCATAAATATGTCAATGTTAAATTGAGAATGCCACAAAAATATGTTTTTTTCTAATGCATTGTAATGCTGATTTTATCAGTATTTATGGAAACCATTTTAAATACAAGAAAAAAAACTGACTTCTAAAAACAACTCCAACTGTAAAAACATTCCAAATGTAGGTAATTGCCCTTTTTATTTTTAATTTACTGTATGCTGCTTTGCTGTATTTGCTCCCTTTATGTCTTTACATATTTGAATCAATACAAATACATTTGGCTGGGGAAGGATTGTGAGTGCCATTATTGCCTAGAGGGAATACTATTTAGCCAACAGCCATATTGACTGGTTAACAGAGGCTTCGGTTTGTTGTCAAAGTCGCCAGTTATGTGTGGCCGGCTACATTTTTTTACTTGCTGTCTAGCAAAATAATTATTACATTTGTGTTCAAGATGTTTATTTCCCCAGCCGAGGATTTTTTATTTCAGATAATGGTTGACAAGTCCCTGTATATTGTGAAATATTGGCCTGCCAGTCAGATCTTGCACAAACAGTAGAGCATCATGGGTTTGATTACCAGGGAATGAAATATAAATCATTTTGAATAACAGTGTCTACCAAATACATGAATGTTAATTCAAGGAGAGAGTTCCTTACCACAGTCTGAAAGCAGGAGTGAAGCTGGGTGAGGAATGGAGGTTTGTCCTGCTGAGCCAGAACCCGCTTCTCCACCATGGTGCATTCAACATCATCATCCTGGATGACCACATCCTTCTTAAGGATCTTTATAGCAAATAGTTCACCAGTAGACTTCATCTCAGCCAGCATCACCTGAGTATGGAAAATTGCAAAAGCTCAAACTGCCAGTGAGAGCCTTTAGCAAACCTAAAATATAATTACAATTTCACCGAGAAAGACAAAAACATTATTTCCTCTTTATACATAAGTTATTTTGAAAACACATCTTTATTTTTAATTAAAAAAACAATTTATTCTACCAGGTTGGCCCCATTTTTAAGAAAAAAAAAACAGGCGGAGTGTCATGATCACCAGCTGGGGTGAGCGTGATTTCACCAAGTACAACATGTTCCTGGATCAACATCCTTGTTGATCTTGGAACATCATTCCAATCAACCAATCAGAATTGAAAAATAACTTTTCAGGAAATGTCAGTTTTAGGCTTACGGGTTAAATCTGTATTTTTGGACAGTAATGTTGATCCAGGATCAACAAAAGATGTTGATCCAGGAACATGTCTTACTTGGCAAAATCAAGGCGACCCACCAGCTGGAGAGCACTTGATGGCCAACAGAGGGCACTCCATCCCAGACTTTAGCCACTCTATCAAGGACTTTATTCCCCATAATCCTCTGCCCAGTCTCATTAGCACTCATTGGCCTGTCCCAAGTCTGCTGCGGAGCTTGCCTCAGTGCGGGCTCGGCAGAAGTGCGCATTGAGAGTGAACAATGGACACAAAGGGGGCGCTCGTGAGCAATCTTCTGAAAGCTAAAATGATGAATGGGACACCCTACGCGGTCTTGTGGACATGTGGACACACGCACGCGGCGGCCATTGTAAGTCTGCAAGACTGCAAGTGCATATGAAGTGTGCCATTTGGGACAGGGCCATTGTTTGCATCAGTGTCTCATTAGTTCTTGCACCAGAGCCAGTTCACAAGATGGCTGCCACGTCAGAGTCTCGTCTTGTCATGACTACCAATCCAGAACCTCTCCACAACATGGCTGCCACGCCAGAGCCTCTCTACAAAATGGCCGCCATTCCAGAGCCTAGACCCGTCATGGCCACCACTCCATAGCCTCCAGTCCCCAGCCGTCATGGCCACCACGCCAGTGTCTCCAGCCATCATGGATATCATGCCAGATTATTTAGCTGTCATGGATGCCACGCCAGTGTTCCTGGCCTTCATGAACGTTGCACTTGAAGCTAGTAAGGCAGTGCCCAGGCGGTCGAGACTGATGTCCAGTGTGGCGGACCCACCGCTGATGTCGGTACAAGCAGCTGGCAGCTTGGTGGCCTCTCAGTCTGCCCTGTCACGGCCAAAGAGTCCATCTTTGAACTCACAATCTGCCCTGACACGGCTAAGGAGGCTGTCTCTGTTAATCTCTCTGTGCTCTCTATTGCAGTCCCGCCTGATCCACCTTGGTGGTCTCCTGCCTTGTCTGCTCCACTTTGGAAAAAGTCTGCTCAACCTGAGCCATCTCGGCTCTGCCTGCTCCACCCTGGTGGTCTTCTGCTCTGCCTGCTCAACCCTGGTGGTCTTTGGCTCCGCCTGCTCTGCTCTGGTGGTCTTCTGCTCCACCCTGGAGGTCTCCGGCTCTGTTCTGGCCTCCAGCCCCGCCCTGGCTACCTGTCCAGCCTGCACCGCCTTGGTTTCCTGCTCTGCTCTTCTCTGGGTTACTCTGTTGCCTCAGCCCGTAACTTTGTCGTTGTTTTGGATTCTCTGATTACCTTCGCCTGTTTCTGGATTATGTCTTTGGATTCCCCTTCAATAAATACTGCACTTGGATCCACAGCCTTTGTGTCTCCGTGCAGCTTATGACACCAAGAAAGGCTGCACCCAAAATCACACAGTATAAAATTTCAACATATATACTGTAAAATAACAATAAAAATAATAATAATAATAATGTAACAATGTTCGTAGATCGGGAAGAAGGAGGCAGGAACCGGCGAACATTTAAATTTAAAACTTTAATAAACAAATAAACAAACCCAAAACTAAAGTAAAAGCGACAGCCCCTCACGGACGGGGGGAGCTGATCACAGCGGCTGCAGCGTACCTGGGGGTGAAGACAGACGAGGCGAGAGAAAAGGAGATGGAAGGATGAGGAGAGACAGAGACGAGAGAGGGGAGAGAGGAAAAGAAAAAAAAAATCTCGGTCCGGTTCCCAGACACATTGGCGCCTGGTCCTCAACCAGCTGAGAGGCTCTCACTTGCGGTGCCATGCGATGGTAGTGGACATCCTTTGTTGGATGGCCAGACGCTCATCCGCCACCTGGCGGATGGCGATGGCTCCTCCGGTTGAGGGCAGTCGGTAGAGAGTCCCCCGTTCCCTGCTCCTCCCCAGTCATGGCAGACGGCAGCAGGCTCCGGCTTCCTGGCAAACGGCGCCAACCCCTCCGCTCCCTCTCAGACGGCAGCCACCCCTCCTCAACCCAGGAGCGTGGCAGCGAGCCCTCTGTCCTACCTTGTCTTCCATTGCTCCAGCACCACCACCTCGGGCAGCCACTGGCGGCCTCCGCTCCTTCCTGCTGCCCGACCTCCTCCGTAGATCGGGAAGGAGGAGGCAGGAACCGGCGAACATTTAAATATAAAACTTTAATAAACAAATAAACAAACCCAAAACGAAAGTAAAAGCGGCAGCCCCTCATGGACAACTGCCTTATTATAAAAAACATAATAAGACAACAACATAAAATCCAAGCCTGGTCCTCTCTCATCCGTCACTGTCGTTACTCCTCCTTTTATCCTTCCGGAGCTCCCCTGTGGGACTCGAGACCGGTGAGTGGTGCAGGTGTCGCTCATTATCATTTACTCCACCGGCCTCGCTCCATTCCCACAGCTCTCAGCCCCGCCCCACTCGTTACATATAAATACAGGTATACGGTTAATACGGTTAAATGTATGGGTAAAGAAGCAATAATTTACAACAATTATCATCAAAAGATTCAAATTAATAATAATTTTAAATTTAGTAAGAGTGTCTTTTAAGATTATGAAGAGAATGCAAATTGTTCCTAAAATTAAAATAAAAAATTCAGAGGAAAATTAAACTGAACGTTAGGAAAAGTCATAAGCACAATATCCTGGGACTGTAGTCCATATGCACATAGTCCATACGCACTCCATATGAAAGGGAGGGCCAATCATTAAATTGTGAGTAAAGGCTGGTACGCTATTATTAATTCACCTAATAATGGGGAAGAGATTGTAAACTCACCTTTCCAAAACTGCCTTTTCCCAACACTGCCAAGAAATTAAAGTCTGTGAGTTTGACTCTGTCCATACTGCTTGAGGGTAAAGTGGACCCACTATCATCCAAAGGAGTGGTGGCTCTTTTGGATGGACCCAATTTGGCTTTCTGCACACAGACATACAATAGCTGTAAAACAAGCCAGAACTACAGGCAGGCTTTTCCCATGATGCACTTGGAATCCCATATGCAATTAAAATGGAGCTGGAACATGTTTTCTGTCATGTGAATAGACCTCAGTCTGGGTAAATTCAATATAATTGTTTTTGGAAAATGAATATGACGCTGTGACAGCGATAAATGCACAGTCCATTTAATGTGTTATACAGTCTTTATTATATTAAGTCTAAATTTTACATAATGTTCATCAAAGTTGGCCACCAGGATTTGTTTTGGTAAAACATTTTTAATATTGCGTCAGCTCAACAACTGACAGCAAAGTAGAAAAAAACAAAACAAAAAAACCTTGAACAGACTTTGCTAACATTTTGCGAAAAAAAGAATATTGTATCTACCCTGACTAAGGTCCATTAGAGATGCAGCCCAATAAAGCCTAATCCACTCTGCATTTCCTACCAATGTCCTATAACACAATCCATACATAACAAGGCTCATTCTAAATCTGCCTTCTTGATGAATTCTGGGTAGTGCCCATGCAGTTTCCCAAGGCAGTTGAAATTCTTTCCATCACAGCATGCATAAGTCAGTCAGCGGGCCAAGATTCTCTGCCAAGCTAGACTGGATGGCCTTGAGCTCAAACTACAACAGCAGGGCACAATTCATTTTTCATTAAAGAATATCTTATTTTGAGTAATCTACCTTCCTACTGAATGTAAGGAGGCAATAATATATTGGGACAATTTTCAAAAGTTCTTTTTGCACATTGTGAGATTTTTATTTAAAAATAAATAAAAATTAAGATTTTTATTTTTCGGTTTAGGGCATAGCTTGGGTTGATAGGTAGGTCATCCAGACAAGAAGCTCTACAAGTCAGAGTTTGATTGTGACGAAGTTGTTGCCATAATAGCAACATGTCCAATGAGATGGTAAATATGGAAAATATCTGTCAAGCAAGTTTGTAACGGCTACAGAGAATCCCTTGGAACTCTGGAACAGCTATAGAATGACAGTGAGGAGAAACACCAGAGCAAAGACTGAAGGATTCTATCAGGAATCTCTGAAGTGAAGAACCTTCTTTAGCCTTCTGTGTTGTTAAACAGCTTTTGAGCCCTTCAAGTTGGTGGTTAGGAATTAAAGAATACAAAAGTCAGCGCACCAGGTGCCTTGGAGTGGAATGACATGCTTAGGTGATGCATAGAAGCACTTTAAGATTATGCAGTGGTGGAAAACATATTACACGGTGTACAGTGGGACAGACCAGGTGAGTCAGACCTCAGTCTGTTAGGCAGAGCCATCAGAGCCAGAGAAACAAAGTAGTGATACTCATGACAATGCAAGTTTTATGATGCAGTGGATTTTACCTAAGATTGGATCAAGATGGTATGAAAGTCGCTGCTCTCAGGGGGAAGGTGCTTATTAAAGGGGTCATGAACTGAGAAATCAAAACTCCCTTGATCGTTTGATATATAAGAGGTCATTTTACTATAAAAACATCCTGTAAGTTTCAGAACTCAAAACTTTCTTGTTATTCTAAAAACAGCTTATATAATGAAGCCAATCTGCCAAAACGACAGGTTGTGGAATGTGCCACTTTATGATGTAATAGTGTGGCTAAATACTGCCTCTGCAGAAGAAGATCAAAGCCTGGTTCTACATCACTGCCTCTTTAGCCCTGCCCACCTATTCACACCTATTACCTATCACACCTATTCTGTAAATAACGAGAGAGGCAAACACAGAAATCAAATGATAAATATGACTCTGAAGACAACAAGATGCTGTGTAGGGTTGGGTATCGATTGGGTTTTTTACGATACCGGTGCCAAATCGATACTTTTAAAATGGTACCAGTGCCTGAACCGATACTTTAAAAAAAAGAGCCACAAAAAAAACTAAACAATGGATAACATTAAAGAACATCTAGTCTAATGTTTCTACTGTATCTCTGTCAATCACTCTGACATTTAGTTAAAATGAGTGAATTGACTGAGTGCTGTCTGTCACTGCCTTTAATCAGTTCTGTGAATGACTGTATGGTATGCCACATGCACTGTAATATGTTTTATATTAAATATTAAATTTTCAAATGAAAATAGCAACATGATCGTTTTATCAAAGTCAAAGTCTGCTTTATTGTCAATTCTGCCACATGTACAGCACATACATACAGATAATTGAAATTGCGTTACTCTCAGACCCTTGGTGCATACAGATAACACTGACAATAGAACGTAAAAATACAGATAAATACAGATTAAATATATATAAAATACAACTATACAAATAAGAACATGTAAAAAAAGATAAATAAAGCAGCACAAGGCACATGGCAGATAGAGTGCAAACCAGTGAAATAAACAAACAGTGCAGCTATAATGATTGTAGTGCAAAAGAGCTTATTCAGTCTGATTAAAGTGACAAAAAGTGAAAAGATTTTCAAGTGAAAAGTGAAAAGCTCAGAGAGCAGTTCTTTATTTAAACTGTCAGCAGAGGTAGTTGAATGAGGTCAGTTCAATGTTGAATGAGGTAGTGAGCAGACCAATGCAGCACAAAGTGACTGGTGCAGGTCACAGTGTGTTAGTGGGAGGGGGGAGTGGAAGGACCTGGGGATGTGGGAGCTGGGGGGGGGTCTGGGGTTCAGAGTTCAGTGGTGCATGGGGCAAAA